TCCTTAATTGATGTGTACGTTCCTACGTTCTTTACAGAGTAAACCTGTTTGCCTGTTTCTGGTGCGTTTAATCTGTAACGGTTTTTGCTTTTGTATGTGTTGTTTTGTTTGCTAAGATAATCATCATGGGTCGTTTGCATAGGCAGAACGTCTCTGGTTTGTGATGTCCGAAACTTTTCGACTTTATTGCTATGAAGCAACGGTTACTCCATTGTAGAACGGATGTTTCTTCTCCGAAAACAGATCTACATCTACGTTGTTTCTCCAGGTTGTACGCTGGTTTTCCGGTTTCTGTGTCCCGTGTTTCGGCTACTACACTTGAAGCACATCGGCTAGAGTAAATGGTTTATGCACAACCAGGTTGTCTAACAGGACGAACCTTCTTTTCATAATCTCCACATGTCAAAATCATTTGTGAGCGGAGGAGAACACTCATTCCATACTTGCATACCCTCAGTATGCGTTGAAGCCAGCACTGCTGTAAGCTGTTCAAATGTCGTTCTTGCTCTTTCATTTCAACAACTGTTTCCATGCCGTAGGAGCGGGGATCTGGCGGAACTAACGTGCAGGTAAATTTTTGTGGAAAATGATACTCTTTTCACAACTCAAATGCCACTGAAACAAAATCACTAGTGAGTCCTGTTGATTTCGGTTGCTAATTTGGATTCCGTCTTCTTCAAAGTTAAGATGTATGAAATCGATGGTTATAGACTGCGGAACACTGGTGTCGAGGCCATTGCTTTTCTGCCAAATAGCGTGGCTTATCATGACGATGGCCAGTGTCTGGCTGAATCTGGTGATAATATATTGTTTTTGATAAGGGTTTTCTGATTGCGATTATAACCGTCGAATTCTTTATGCTTAAGTTAAAGAATTTTTTTTTGCTTGACATTCTCTTGTCGAAACACAACCTTCTGGCGGGCTGATACAATGATGATTGCACTGATCTGCGAGACCTGCTGTTATGACTATGTTCATTAATGATGCAACATGATATACCTACAATCACCGGACTCTTGGCATTTTGGCGCACCTCGTCAGCTGAAACAATATAACTGATTTCAGGAAGCTAAAATAACAACAGAACAATTTATCAGTTGAATGTAATAAAACACGGCGTAAATTCTTTGGTGAAGGAGCCAAGCAGACTACAAGAACGTTCACGCTGTTTCAATTCTAACTCACTCCTTCTGCACTTGAAACTGACCAAGCAACTACTCCCGTAAGGTTAAATGCAACTACGATTGTTTGAACAGTCAAATGGGTTAATTTATTCGCATTTGAATTAGCTTATGTGCTTTGTAATGCCAGGCATGAAGGCTTGATAGTACTCTGAAAAACAGCTTACATGCGGATGAATAATCTCAACGGCATTATCAGTCGATGTAAGAAAGCCAAACACAAGTTGCCTGTGTTTTTGATCAGTGATTCGTGACGTTCTTTGTCCACTTGATAATTCGTTATAAAAACGTTCTTGCTTACTACTAAATAAATTTGAGCTATGATCTGCGGCTAAGCTACTGAAAGCCTAATCTCAATGTGGAAGCGCTTCAGACGGAACGACTTGTTTCATCAGCTCATGATCGTTGAGATACTTTCTTTCGTGGCATTTATATTTTACCGCCGGAACAAGAAACAGGTAAACTCTTCGGCTGGAAACCAAGGGCTAA